TCTTACTGTTGACTAAGGTCCTTCGCGAAGGTATTGAAGTAGTGAAGCTTGGTAGCAGTCTTACAGTAAGGTGGAAGGTTTTACAGGTAATCACAGAAAAAGAATTCATCATTCTTAATCGGTGCTGCGACACTATTCAATAAGTAACCTGCATTAATTTACTCGTTAAGTTTAATGTCTGGTATAAGGTTAAAGGTGTACAATATACAAGCCTGTAAATCTGTAAGATCAGAAATAGGAGTTCCAAGAGTTTCTTAATCGGATTAAGCACTCTGATGCGCAATTCAGGACGAAATTTTCAGACTTCAGCTTTAAGCTCTGTTATCGTAGAGTTGATTTGCGACAGGTTTGTAGAATCCATTAAACCTTCGTCATTAAGAAACAGAAAACTTGATACATGGTACCTCAAGACTTGTGGAAATTCTTTTTAGTTACGCAATAATTGATAAATCGAATAAAATTATTTAAATTTAAATAGACCTATTACTAAGACAAGTTAGCATGAGTTTTGTATAGGTTGGTAATAAACTTAAACTACTTCTTACCAGCTTTGCAGCATACCAAACAAATGTTTTTGAGGAGAATCGAAAAGAAGATGATTTAAAGTTTACTTTAATGCAGGATACTTAGTGCAGATACTAATCGAGCAAGAGCTTTAATAGCTAGTGTTTATGTAGCTATAACAACACATGATGCAATAAAATTACTCTTACCACTACATCTATTACATAGAATTATTATCACCATAAAATTTATCGGAATCTGAGGCGGGTAAAAGCAGTTGATTACCTGTAATTATTAAAATACATTTTATGATAATAACGTCTGTTTCACTGCTAATTGTCAGACCACCTTCGCATATCTGATTTACGCCAAATTGTACTATCCTTGCTACGCCTTAGATCGTAGCTGGTGGAACCATCTTGCTATTATATACTTTTAAGGCTCTCTAGCTCATACTAAGAACCATTTTCCTTTACATGATTAGTCTCTATAATGACTAGAAATATTGAATAGTCATTTCTGTAGAATTTATTTAATGATTTAGGGTTGAAAACGTGAATAGGAATGACTTTGTAATAATCGATTTACTTATTCACGCTAGTTCTAAGTATGCAGAATAATACAGCAGTGGTCTACAAATATATTACGAATTGCGAAAGAAATGATCTAGTATTCCTAAACTATAAGCTATTTTTCTGTTAGCTTCACAGTATTTACAATTGTATTACAGCCTTACTACGTATCAGGATCATTAAATTTACTATCCTATTTTAGCTTCAATATTTAGCTTCCATGAGTCTATATATATTCGCTTTACCGTAACATGTATCTCAGCTACAAAACCTAGCTTGTATGATAAACAACAATTTAGATTCCTAAACTATTTGTTTATTAACATTATAGTATTTAGTATTTACAATCATATTGTAGCCTTATCAAGTATCAGGATCATAAAATCTCCTATCCTATTTTAGCTTTAATATTAAACCTACATCAGCCTATATATTAGTTTTATCGTAAGATGTGTCTCAACTAAAACACTTAACTTATACGAAATAGAATAATCTAATATTCCTACTTGTTTATTAACTTCACAGCACTTATAATTTTATTCTAGCCTTATCAAGTATCAGGAACCTAAAATTTAATACTTTAGCGTTAATATTTAACCTCTATCAGCCTGTCTATTAGCTATGCTGTAATATGTATCTCAGGTACAAAACCTAACTTTTACAAAATAGAACAATCAAATATTCCTAAAGTACTCTTTAATTAGCTTCTCAGTATTTAAGATTTTATTATAGCCTTACCAAGTATCAGGATCGTAAAATTTCCTATCTTATTTTAGTATTACATTAAACCTCCATCAGCCTATATTAGCTATGTCGTAACATGTGTCTCAGCTACAAAACTTAGCTTATACGAAATAGAACAATCTAGTATTCCTAAACTACTCGTTAATTAGCTTCTCAGTATTTACAATATTATTGTAGTCTTACCAAGTATCAGGATTATAAAATTTCTCTATCCTATTTCAGCATTATTGTTTTACCTCCATCAGCCTATAATATTAGCTACATCGTAACATATGTCTCAGCTACAAAACTCAGGTTAGCATTCACTATTTCGGGGTTATTTATACTATACTAGAGTATCCCTAATTGTAAAATTTCTTATGTACCATAGACATTGCTAAATTTACCTTTACTCTACGAAATTCAATTTCTCTTTGAACACGTAAGTGTCACGATACGAACTACCGTGAAGAAATAGCTATCTAAATTTGGTTAATATAATATAGCGATAATATATTACAACTAGTTACTTACAGTAGGAATTACTCTAATTATAAATGTGTTACAGTAAATTTAATGCTGTGCTGTAATGTGTACTGAAATGATTCTGTGAATGGACATATTGTAGTCCGACTGTGAAAAATTAGTTAGTAGATGTTCTCACCTAAGAATTTTTATAAGATGACTCATGAATGTTAGCTGCTGTAGAAGGGTATATAAGCCCGTCAGATAGTTGAATAAAGTAGTTCTCAATTGTCTAGTTGAGTTTAACGTAGAATCAAAGGCGTCTAAATTCTTGTGAGGTAGTTAAGGGATACTGAATCCCGGAGACTATAGTAATTTAGAGATTTGTTTTACGTTATCCTTGTCACGAAGCTGGTTTGTGACAGTAAGTTAGTCGAATAATTGGCCATACTATAACTTTGGTAAGTTAGGTCTTCCAAAAATAAACATTTACCTTATCGGTCTGAAATCGTATAGAAACTAGAATCTGATTGATTACCGGCTATAATTTTGATATTATTATTTACTATGGATATTATGGTATACAGCTTTAGTCATCATCATTTAGAAAATAAGGAAAAAATTGAGAAAAGAAATGCTAAAAATAAACGATTTTACTACGTGACGATAACATCATTTCATGTTGACGCGGTAGGATTTAGAACATATCACGTAAAATTAATTCCTAGAAAGTACATTAGGATTTAGTTTATATGTCATAATGTGGTATATTAGATCGTGACTGTATATGTATAATATTTCAAGACCAATGACATATCTACCAATTAAATTCTGATTTTGTTGACGTAATAAGACATGCAACCTTGTCAGATTTATTTCGATTTTATATCTAATTACCGGTATGTGGTTGTTTGACTGTATCACCTTGACGACCTATTACAAACAGATTAAATAAAGTAAAGCTGATCATAGTTTAATGGTTTTGTTTAGTTGGCTTTGATAAGTTATTAGGATTATAACAAGGACTAATTGGCTGATGATCTCGATCCAATTCTAGTATTACTATACTTATAAATAAGAAAATTACCAATCTACTTTTTGCTAAATCTTCATAATACCAACTTATCTTTCAGTTTGTAAGTAAATATCATCTATAAAACAGATAGAATGATTTTACTATAAAAATTACAGAATATTTTCTATTCTGTATAAACTGCAATATTAATTCACAAGTCAGCCATAATGACTTTCTATCTGTTTGATAAAGGACAAGAAACTCCCCTGTGACAGTGTTATATACTGTATTAGAGTAGAAATATCTATGTTAGGATAATTCTGTTAGCCTATCCTTATTTAGTTAACTTCTAATTTGGATATACTGTGTTTTAATATAGTACTGACTTTTTATGACCGAGACACAATACACATATTGAATTAATAGTTATAATAGGGAATGCAAATCATCTACTTGCAGTTTGAATCATTTTGATTATAACTTACTTATGGTAGATTGTAAATTATCGTGGAAATGTTCCGTGATAGGACATATCGTAATCTGACTATTCTGTATTATTCATCAGATGTCTATGTTCGTAAATACCGTTGTCTGTATTAAGGGAGCAGTAGCTATAATTAATATCTAATTCAGTAAATGATTCCAAAGTTAATCGTACCAACTATAACTCATGGATATTGAGGAATATTATATAAATGCAGTATATCGTGCAATAAAGTGGATTCTCAAACTTAGTGTTTAACGTAAAATACGAGGCATTAAAGTCTTTGTGTAGTCTGTTAGTAGAGCAAAAGTGTTCGTGATAGTGCAGATATCGTTCCTTGATACGTGGTTCAAGGAATTGACTTATTGATCGTACATTAAGATATCTTGTTGCAAAGCTGTTTTGTGACATCCCCACATTAAAAGGTACTTTGCAATCGAGCCAAGATTTGAAAATATATATCAGAGTAAAGATGATGAAGATTCGTAAAATGAATGACGTAGCCACTGCGAAGATTTTATTCTACTTCCTATCCTATTGTAATAATTATTTAAAGAGCTTTAAACTGGTTTATATATTCATTTAGGTTGCATCAATAATACAATGTTTGATGTTAATAATTAATCGGCTATTGGCTACTGGATCGATGGTTCAAAAAAACATCTGTTTACTTTTCAATTATATTATAGTTTTTGCTGTAGCTAGATAAAAATTAGACCCTTAACTATATATTAAGAGTATAGATGTAATCCATCTATTATAGTAAAATAAATCCTTTGGTGCTACGCTACTGAAAAATACTAAAACTTTTTCCTTATCCTTTTCTGTTTTTATTAACTCCGTATAGTATCTTAGTAAATGTTCATTTTTATTTATTATACTTAGCTGAAAGTTTACTAAATTAGCAATTTTAATCACATCATCCTACTTGAAAATAGCTTTCGCAGTTAGTATCTCTACTAGAGGATAGAATTTTCCATTTTGTAGATAGTTGGTTGTGAGTTTTTTGAAGATATTTGACTCGGAGAGTATCATAATCGTTTGAAGTAATGATGTTATCGTTTACATTCTAAATGAAATATTATGGATTAAAATTTTTACCTTGCATCAATTTTATCATAACAGAGAGACAGCAAAATCCATCTTCCTGCTTATGTAACTTTATAAAGGTGATCACTATTCGTATTTTAGTACTTTGGTCCGTCTTATCAATAATAGCGTCAAAAAATACAGCAATATGGAAAGTAAAGCGTCTTTTATACCCGTTATAGGTATAATTATTTTGACTATTATTACCATTACAGCTATTGTTGGGAATCTGTTTTATTTGATTACTCTGTATAAGAATCCTAGTTTACAAAATCGAATCAATAACAATTTTATTGGGAACTTAGCAGCTGCTGATTTATTAACTGGTTTATTGGCTATTCCAATGGTTCTAACAGTAATCATTATGGGATCGTCTGTACCTTCTACCATATGTCAAGCGCAAGCTTTCCTTGTTGGATGGTTCTATGGAGTATCACTAACAATTGCAGCCGTTATTTCTATCGATCGCTGCATAATTGTTGTTCAACCATTGCGTTATCCCAATTTAATGACACCGAATAAAGTTAAAGTATTGATTATTTTTCCTTGGGTATTTTCTCTAATAATTTATATCGTGCCATTGTTAGGTTTAGAGAATGTTGGTTTGGGGAGATATGGGTATAAAGATTATTGTAGGCTAGACAGTTCTATAATTTCTATTGCAATTGAGCGAGAGGAAGAAAACTGTAGCAAAGGATTTGCTATTGGAAGTCCTGAGGAAGCTCTTGTTTTTGGGGCATCCGATGTTATTGCATCAATTTACTTAATCCATTTAATCTTAGTCATTTCTATTGTCGTCGGTTGTTACAGTATTATTTTTTATATTGCCTGCCAAAAAAATTTAGCTTGCGATCGAAATAGAGCTAGAAGTATTATTAAATCAATTCGAACTACCGCTACTATAGTAGGCACAAATTTATTTTGTTGGATACCAACCACTGTTCTTACTATTTTAGATCTATCTGATTTTGAAATTTTCAATTTGCTACCATTTAAAGTTTCGGTTATATTCTACATCTTATTCTTGGCAACTGCTGCTACTAATCCAATTATTTATATTTGGAGAAGCCATGAATTGCGTAATAGAGTAATTACTACCGTTTGTTACAAGAGAAATAGAATTATGCATTTGCAAAGAAATCTTTGACATTCCGATCAAATATTATTGCTATCCATTTTTTTCATTTTGATATAAATTATGCCATAATTTTGGTCTAATTGGGTTAAAATTGATAGTATACAGCATCAATTTTATCTTACCGTTTACTTATACTGCATAGGTATGAAGTAAGTCGGATACCATAGCTCATAATCGACGTAATGGTGAATTTTAGACCATAAAGAGCTGTAACTAATCTCATATCAAGGATTTTAAAACTTATTTAACATCATCAATACATTTCTTGAATCAAAATAAATTGAGATCTTTCATTTCTTACTAATTTTGGCCAATTTTTTACAATAATTTTACATAGTAGGCAGTCATATTAGCTTTATCCAACATTATAGCAAATGCTATTCAGATGACATAGAAGAATATATTATACAATTGTATACAGATGCTCTTATGCTTGAAGCAAAAAGCAATTTCAATTGAAGATTTGTAACAACATGTAATTTCTTTTCTCTTAATAAAATAAATAAATATTGGGAATACCCTTTGATTTCAAAATATGTGTACGAACAATTCATTGTCGTAGTACTAGTTAACAGAATGTAAATGATATATTAAGCATAAGTAAATGTTTAAGGTAAGTGTAATTGATAGGCAATAATCCTCGGCGTCTATGGCAAATGAGTAAGAATATATGTTATGTCTAGTTATTCTACTGCATCGTATTTTAAACTGATAAATTTGATGGTAGCATTATGTAAATGACATAGCTAGGAAATAGTCCTATATTAGAACTTAGAGCCATTTACATTAATAAGAATAACTCAGTTTATATCCTTTAGACGTTAAACAAGATCGCCATTTTCTCAATATAACTAAGTTTGCACTAGTTTCAATACCAGAAAATTTTGAGCTCAGACACTAAGGATGCGATCAGGCAATGAAGACTTACAAAGATTAGTTGGTACAGCATTATATTTTATTATTTGTAGTCAATATAATATAATATTTAAACGAGCAAACAGTCTGACTGTACTAAGTATAATCGTATAGTCAAGTTTAAATTAAATCTATAAAAATGCTTAAAATCTGGATGATTCCCTGCTTAGCATATGGTCGTTTACCATACTTGGTGCGAGAGAGTTGAGTTTGCGATTCATTCGAGGTAAATCAAGGAATTTACTTAACGATGTCATAGAATTAATTAATACGTTTGTTAAGAAACAGAGTATTTAGCATGTTAGTACTCAGTTTACGGCTAAATTATTAGCCAACTGGCTTCCTTCCTTAAGAGGTAAGTTTATAGAATAATAATCAGCCTGAGGCTACGCCATTCGATCAGATAACAACTTTAGCAAGAGGATGAGCTAATTTACTGTATTTTTTTACTATTTTTGGTTTCAATTCGTTACTGTCACAATTTATAATTTTTGTTATGGTATTACACATTTGTGGAGCCAAATATAAAGCTATTGCAGGTCATTCTATTTATTGAACGATTGCAGTCTTATTTAACCCATTATATAATATTTTCATCTTAGCTACAGTAGCTGAGGTAATATCAATTGTGGTAGGAAAGTTATGAAACACACTGAGGCAGAATTATATTACTTTTCTACCAATTACTTCGAATATCGCTAACAGAGAAATTAGCATGTACTCATAGATTGCATTGAGATCTACTGATACTACCATAAATGATCTAGAAAGTATAAAATTTAAATCTACTTTTAAAATTCAAGAACCTGCCATAAATTTGAACTCGGACGGTCTATTTTGTGTTAATGCTTAAAACTCTGTTAATCTGTTGGCATTTTCACTTACACGAAATCTTAAACAAATCTGAAATGAGCTTAATTGATAATCATTCATGATTTTACTACTTTATTTTTACCTGGAACTTGAGATTTATTCTCTTTATTAAGTTCCGATAAAACCAATCACAGTCATTTACTAACGTAGCTATCATTGTTTACTTTAGAGGTGCTATAAATTTTATTGAGAATGACGCCAAAAAATCATAATGAAATCCTCATTTATAATAACGAATTTAAGGTTTAAACTAGTCGCATTTGTGTTTATTTTTACCCAAACTATCTTGACTATAGATTTATCAAAACAATGTTGATGTACTTTAAGCCATACAGAGATAGAATGAATGCTGCTGGGGTTTTTATATTATAAAGACTATAATAAAATTACGACAAAATGCAAGCTGAGATCTCTAGATATCGCCAATTAAGACTAAGCAAATTAATACATTGACAAGTAAAAAAACCGAATCAAAATAAATTTATTATCTGATAAAAATAAAATACATACTTATATATTAATTACCTGGATCCATTAAATATACTAAAATTTTAGCCGCTAAGAATAATGAGTTTTAAAGAGTTGATAATATAGGTTGGTATAGAAATAAAATTAAGTCGTGTAAAATTTAACCCGCACCTGATGATAAAAATACTTTTACACAGGAATGATAGCGCCGTTCTACTATAATTAAATATTTGTTATTATTTTCGACTTAGTTAGATACGGAAATTTCCGTATAGAGGTTGCAATGTTGTTCTATTAACATAATTCTTTAATTTTATTATTCTCTTTTGTGACTCTAATTGCTATATAGGGCTGCTGGAGTAGGATAGTATTCTCCTGGTCCTAAAGAAATATTACGTAGCATCTCAAGTTGTGCCAATCTCTTGCTGTGTATTTAATAGATGGAAAATATACTGTTAGTAAGGCTCATTGAGTACAACCATTATTAGGAATACAATCCAAGGAATTGTAGTCAGGTTCATTAGATTCTTGAGTTTGTCAATAAAAAATAGGAAAAATAAAATTTGTATACAGAATAAAATTTAAAAAATGAACTTAATTTCCGGATATTTGAATACGGAGATTTTAAATTATTCATATGATAACATGAATTACACCAATTTTTTCACTTTCATTACCGTAAATTTATAACTAGTTATCAGTAATTAGTCGGCAAGCCCAGAAACTTTAGACTGTAATTGCTTGTAGTTTGGTATTAAAAACTGAAGGTTGCGGTATTTTGGTTCAACAACTATACGTATGCTCCACTTTGGAAGGCTCTTCATTTGACAATAAATTCATTTACGAATAATTAATTTCTGTTAGATCACTGATGAAAAATCGTTAAATATTAAAGTGTTGCTCGTAATACACGTATACGGATATATACTAATGACATTTTGGGCTTCACGTTTAACAAAATATCGCCAGAAAAAAGCGGACGCCCTTAAAATGGTATCTTAAAGGTCCTTTTTTTGCCAAATGTATTAAAATAAACGTTCTTAATATTGATAAACAGGGAAAATTACTCTTGCGAAAAAATTAAAAGTATTAACTGAAATCAAAGAATTCCATCTATGTAGTTTACAACGATTTACTCTAATCTGTTGCTTTGATACTTGTAAGGTACACGGTTGATAAGTTAAGCTAAAAGCTATTGCCTTTTCGAATGAATAAAACTATCAGGACTTCAAATTATGTCTTTAAAGTTATTTTTTATGAATACCGTCGTAGCAAAATGTATAATCTTGTAGAGGATGTTACAGTGAAAATTAAAATAATTATTTATCTATATTAGCTTTTAGGAGAGGGCCTCCTAAAAGCTAAAAATATTTTTCTGAAGTAGGCTAATGCTAATGGTCAATTTCAGAAATATTACTCTAGTAGACACATTAAATAATCATACCCTAAATTGACTGTTGATCTTCAGAAGTACTTAATGAAACATTAGCGCAGCTAATGTACTCGTACATTATTGATAAACTTCCTGATGTTATATCTACCTAGCATTAATGACTTGCACAAAAAGTGTAGTGTTCGCTTTGTTACATAAAAAGAAAAATGTTAAATGTTGACAAGGTATGTTTAGGGTATAATGATGACAACGGTAGAATTGAAAATTATTACTATGTTGAGCAAATTAAATTAGCTGACTTTCAATTCATTTCTTTAGACTTTAATTATTCTTATGAAACGTCATCAGCACAAGCATGTAAAATAATGTCGATTAACGCGAGAATGATAGATACTTAATGCTAAGATTAACAGCATCCAGAAAAGTGAAAATTTTCATATTTGTAATGACAACTAAAACGAACTTTATATTTTTTCCAACTTTAAGATCATGATAATTAAAATGGTCTTTAAAATTTGGGACAATTTAGATACCATGTAGTAGTAAAACGAATTATTATGACTCGTGATCTGTATAGTAAAGGTATATCATTATATCATATTACTTATATTGCGGCAGATAGTTATGTTACAGGAGGTATATGTAGGATAATAGTAAATCTAGAATTATAAAACTAATTTATTTTCGAATAAGAGCAAGTGAATGAGTCAGATACCGAATTTATGAGTTAGCTCAACGGTCAGATCGTGTTCTAACGGATTTCAAAGTATAGCCTAAAGTTATACAATTTTGATTAAAGAATTGACGATAGCTAATTGTCACGGTACGAACTCCTGTGAAGAAATAGCTATCTAAATTTGGTGAATATAATATAGTTATAATATATTACAACTAGTTACTTACAATAGGATTACTCTAATTATAAATGTGTTACAGTAAATTTAATGCTGTGCGGTAATGTGCACTGAAATGATTCTGTGAATGGACATGTTGTAGTCCGACTGTGAAAAATTAGTTAGTAGATGTTCTCACCAAGATGACTCGTGAATGTTAGCTGCTGTAAATGGGTATATAAGCCCGTCAGATAGTTGAATAAAGTAGTTCTCAATTGTCTAGTTGAGTTTAACGTAGAATCAAAGGCGTCTAAATTCTTGTGAGATAGTTAAGGGTTACTGAATCCCGGAGACAATAGTAATTTAGAGATTTGTTTTACGTTATCTTTGCCACGAAGTTGGTTTGTGACACTAATATTGTTGATAGATAGAAGATATAACAGCGAGTAGCTTTTTATAATAGAGAGAGTTCTAGTCCTGATTTTTATGTTTCACTGCTACTAGGAGTAGTTCCTGTGTTGAAATAGTGGTCGTAACGTGTAAAAACGGATTTAACCTAAATATATCGTTACTATACACGGTATAGTTATGCACTTAATAGATAATTAAAATACAAAAAAATTTAAATTAATTTAGAACAGAAAAACACTAGGCTAGTTGCAATTTGCGTTTCTGAATTAACATTGCTTAATCGGTAGTGATTGTTTTCGATTACAAGGTACAATGACGGTTATCATATTGCTATTTGCTTAGTTTAAAGTAGACTTTGCATATCAAGAGATCAATATAATTTGATTATAGCCTAAAGATGTCGGATAGTGTGTTATTGATGTAAGAATACGGACAGTTAATATTGTTTATTTTTATAAAATTTTTACGCGTATGCTCTATAGCTACTTGCCAGTATAGATAGAAGATATAACAAGGAGTAAATTTTTACAATAAAAAGAGTTCTAGTTTTGGTATCTATGTTTCACTGCTGTTAGAAACAGTTCCTGTGTCGTAATTGCGGTTGCAACCTATATAAATGGATCTAACCTAAATATGTTGTTGCTATACACAGTATAGTTGCGTATTAATAAAGAATTAAAATTTAATTTAGTATAGAGAAGCACTAAAGTCGTTGCAATTTGTGTTTCTAAATTAATACTGCTTGATTGACTGCAATTATTTTATGATTGATATGCACGTCGGTAGTTATAGTCTTGCTATTTCCCTTAATTTGAAACAGATCTCACATGGCAAGAGATAATAATTTTGAGTTATATCTTCATGATCTCATATAGCGTTTATTGCAATTGAGTCATACAACAGTGACATCCACAGAAAGACATGAATATTTATAAGACTGAATTGGTGTACAGTTATATAACGATTGTCAAGAGATGAATCTTCCGCATTGATCACAGTAAATATTCAGTTTACTTCGATGGTGTTCTTTATGTACTTTATGTGCAAAAAGTTCCATCTGTCGTTTTTATATTACCGGTGAAGATTATACAATTTGTAAGGAAAAATATTCAAAATCAGTTCTGGTTAATTAATTATTAACAAAATATCCTAACAGGAAAAGCAAAACTATTTACAAGAATTACTTGGACAGATCGCCTACATGAGACTATGTACCCGCAGTAGAGAAATTGTTCAACAGTTATGGTAACTATTTTAAAATTATTGATGATTAGCTCAATGTGAAAGTTTAAATATTGTGTCGAGAATAAATTGAATTAATGATCTATACTCATTTCATCTTTTTTTCTAATTCATTAATGTAGAAGTGTGACATGATACGGGACAGAAGTAAATATATAATTTATATCATCGTTATCAAAGATGAGAAGCTATAGTTGATTTCGGTAATTATCTTCTTTTTATAAAGTATTTACTGATTGGAACTCACATTTAACTTTAAATTAATGCCCAATTAAAATGGTTATTAATGCTCTTCTTCGATATTTTAATTTGCGTATTAAAACTAATGAGATAATTTTGGCATTTGGTGGTTCAATAAAAAATAGTTCTAGGATAATAGTTTTTTTGAATTTAAAATTCGTCAATAAAGTCCACTGTTGGACATGTAATGAATTCAGGAGGAGATAAACGAAGCATTTCGGAATCGATGAGGTTAAATCCTACTACTTAATTGTGCTTGCAAAAATTCTTCGTCAAGTGCATATACATAGACTAGCCAATCTTTGGCATCAAAGAGTCCGTAAATGAGTTGAAAACTCCTTTGATCGAGCGGTACGTTAATTTTGTTACCTTAAATACAGTAATGGAAAAATATCTCTAAAGTCTATTGCTACTGTACAATATGCTTAGCGTAGAAAATAGAATGAAAATAATATGAACCTAAGGGATGGGAATTAATTTGTATGGAAGAAATTGCTTTTTACTATTGATTCTCATCATCTGGACGATACGAATCGTTAAGACTGTTAATTTGCTCTACTATACAAGCAGCCGTAGAGTTGTTACGTCGGCTTGGAGAAATTGCGGTTCGTTTTCGAAGAGGCTGCAAGCTTGTTTTAAATTGAAATAATTTTTGAAATTTAAGGCGCAAGACGCCATTAGTGGTAATATAAATGATTGGATTACTAGCAGCACTGCCAAAGGGTGCTAAATAAGCTACCTTGAATAATGTTTCATCAAAGTCAGGATCTCTCCGATGGTAGTGTCCATCTTTAATTTCGATAATACAGGCAGTAACAAATGGCAACCAAAAGAGTAAATTCGTACCGACAATAATTGCTGTGGTACGAACTGATTTCATCACATCGCCATAACCATTTGGTCTCAATTGGTTGGCAACTTTATTACAAGCGATACAAAATATGATGGTATAACTTATTATGATGGCCATCATACTAAACAAGATCAAACAGATCGCCGCGATAGCAATAACAAAATTTGCGTCATAATCGTGGATATTAATCCAGCAGATGTAGACAAGAGTATAATAGCCGAAGCCATAATGTTGTAAATGTAGTAGAGGTAGTGTTGCAAAGAGGATGGATAATATCCAAATTCCCGCTATTAAAGCGATCATAGCATGAAATTTAGCAATAGCTGCATAATAATATGGCTTCGTTACAGCAATAACTCGATCAATGCTGATGAGAGTTGTTGTCATTAATGAAGTGGTATTTAAAAACATAAGCAAGAAACCTTGAATTTGGCATAATGTATTACTGAAATGTGATTGACTACTGACAACGGCCAAACCTAAAGGTATTACTAATAGACTACTGAGTAAATCGACGACGGCCAAGTTAAAGATGAACATATTATTGATAGTATGCAATGAGACCGAACGATAGATAGTTATCAGAGAGAATAGATTACCAGTCACTGCAAAAATCATGACGATGCTAAAGAATAGGGTTAAGATCGGAATATTATAATGTAGCGACCAAGTAAATGGAAGTATTGAAGAATTAGCAGCAAGTGATGATGAAGTCGTCGTAAAATGGTTAGTTAAATTATAACCTTCGAACTTCGACATGTTGTAGAAGAAATAAATGGTGATTCAATACGGCTCCAAGAATGATTTATCTAAATGATATCGGGATAATGCCTTTAAAAAATATGTTACATCCGTGCCTAAAATATTAAGGAAATATTTTTTGTTCAACATGATTAAATTGCATCTTAACTTGCTTAAATTATTCTATCAGCGGATCGATGACAACTGCGCATGGAGTATCACAATTAGCAGGCAAACAGTTCTAAATGAATCCTTGATGAGAGTGGATAGCGCTTTATCCTTTCATTTAGAAGAAAAGCATTATTTTAATTTCTTTCAGTTCAATTGACATTCCATAGAAGATTGGGTATAATATTTACATGGTGATGATATAATAATAGCGAGCAATTAATTAGCTACATAACCAGATTATTATGCCAATGATAGATTGACTATGATCATATAGGCAAGAGAATTAAATGTTAACGTAATTTTTCAATTGAACTATTCATCTTCATTTCAATAGTTTCCCCTATAAATAAACCACCATGGCAGGTGTTGATGCAGAAAAACATACGTATAATTACAGACCATTTGTCCAAGAGAAGTGACGATTGGTGAATATTAATTTCTTTATTAATTGATTAAAAATAGTCGAGGAGAATTTAAAATAGGATGATGATTGGCTGTAAATCAGTTTGAAAAGGTTGACAACCTTGATAATTATATTAAGTATGTCTAGATTGAAATAATGACTTCAGTTTCATGCTGCATACCTATAAATCGCGTTATTTATCGTCATGGCATCCTGATGTGGTAACTACAGTAACTAGATACAAGTAGATCACGCAATTTTTTAAAATCCAAGATCTTGCCTTAGATTTAATATTATTCAATTTTGTTGTAATAGATAATATAAATCTTCATCTGGTATTTTTACTTGGGTAAAATGCTCCTATTTATTTTATTAGCGTAACTTACCATAGGTATAATAATTTGATCATAATGAGAATGCTAAATGGGATTGACAAACCAATTTTGGGTATTTTTATCGTTTTTAATCCAGCTTTAAATCTTCATTTGTAATCTCGGTATAGTTTATAAATTGATTAATTTTCATGCAAGCGGCATTTGGTAATGTTTCCGGCAGCAATTTTACTGAAAGCTCGCATTCAGCATAAACGGACAAGACTGGTTTACGTAATTTGGACTGTTCAAGTTATAAATGCTCTAAATGATGATGTTAGTTTTAAGACTACTTTAGTTCCTCACATCTTATCGTAAATTTATGATTATACTGCCGCTATTACTTCCATTTTAGCTGGAGTTACCCTACAAAATTTTAGTATTTTTAATTTTAATGCAGCAATAAAAGAAACCAATCTTTAATAAATTAGATTATTTTGGCTGAAGAATACATCCATTGGACTAGTGTATATATATATAAAGTATTATGTACGAAATTCTGTGTTAATGCAAATATTGTAGCTGTAGGCGAGTCTTATTATACCATATCATTAGTGTTTACGTGATCAATCTATTGAGAAATTTTCATCAACTTGACATTCATACAGGCTACACTGCCTTCGATAGGAATCCTAAACTTGTTGGACAATGCAATTATTGAAATTGGTAATGAATTAAAATTGAATAATAGTTTCAAATATAGAAAGGCATATTCCTATTTTCATAATGCTGTGACATAAAAATAATATTGATGAAAGCTCTTAACAAACTTAGAATTTGCGCTGTATGCACTCTAGCATTGTTTAAGGTAATATTTTAAAAAAGATTTATATAATTGTTAAGATAATATATCCTTTGTACTATGATCAACATAGTAGTCAGAGAAAGAATGCTGTTTTTGCTTAAGCGAATTTAAAATTTCTTGTATATAAACTGTTGATATTGCCTTTAACCTAAGCTGGAATAAAAGATTAACTGAAAGTATATTCTATATAAAAATTAGGCCCTTACAATTAAAATTATCTGTTCCAATAGTCAAAATTCTTTTAATCAAGCAAATATTAAAATATTTTATTCCAACTACTGAAATGGTTATAACCTCCTTAAAGAGCATCAGATTAACTATAATGTCTAGGTGAGAAATGCCAAATTGAAATTAGTTAAGTAAAGGAATTTTTTAGCAAAGCATCGTGATCACTATATGCGTATGTAAATCTTAAAATTGTCATATATAAGTTAGATGATCAATTGAAATTACTACTGAATTAAGATAAAAATAACTCTGAAACGTATAGTCCAATTAATTGGGCAGCTCTTTCTAGGATTTTTAGTGTCTATCCAAGCGATTTATGAGAATTCAACTCAAGTTCTCGGCCGAGCTCCATAGTTAACTGATTTATTGGTATACATATTTCATGAGGAGACGGCGACATGCTTCTGAAGCAATAACTCATTTATTTCACAATCATATGCATTTATATTGTTAATTTAGATATTAAATGCAGTAAAATTTGTATTCTATATGTTACGTAAATTATCGCATATTATTACTAAATTGATATATAGATATTTTACGATTTAGGTAGCTACAGACTATCTAGTATTTAAATGTTTGTGCTCTGTTCGTATGATTAATTACAAGATTAATAAAATTAAATATCGCGCACAGTATATGACTTTGTCTAGATTATTCAATAGTATTCATTACTGCAGTGGTCAATAATTACTTATTTTTGTAGCATAACATCGTTATAACTGGTTACCAATAAGCAGTAAGTATTACAATAATGCTGAAAAGAAGCATATAACCAGTTTTCAAGGGCTACTCTGCTGACAAAGGATGACGTAAAGTATTCTGCTCTTCTAAGTGGCTACTGTCAACTACTATTTTAGTTTCGGCCTAGAGCTTCCTTTCTAGACTGCAGTTACACAGCTAAACTTGACAACATCGAGCTACTATTACTTTATTTCAACTAATTTGAGCAACGCCATGCACTCGTAAAGATTACAGAAATAAACTACTAATGAGCAATATTAGCGATCACCAATCAAAATCGTAAGAGTTTAGTCGACCTGACTTATATAGGTAGAAATCTACCTAGATATAAATACTTAATTTATACTGTATCATTTACGGTGTATTTATACCGTAACACCAGTATAGTGGGCTAATAAGGATAAAAAGAATTCATATACTATACGTTGTGTTGGAGATGAACTAAGTAAGAAAGCCAATGTAATCGTAAATCTTATACTTTTTGTGCATATATACAGGCATCATCTTAGACCCTTGTTACTAATGCAATGAGTCACTATTATCTATTCTAATGTTATTTAGTAGTTATTTATCGGTATTATAATTACATTCTAAATTTTAAGGGCAATTCCAGTGTATTGAGAATTAATGTATTAATTTTATTGACGGATCCAATACAACCCCAATACCACCATTGTTTGGAGTATGCCCTTTATTTTTTAGGCTATGTTACAGTGTTAAATACTGTATTACAGTAGAAATAACTATGTTAGGATAACTCTGTTAGACTATCCTTATTTAGTTAACTTCTAATTTGGATATACTGTATTTTAATATAGCACTGACTTTTTATGACAGTGGCACTTATACACATACTGAAATTAATAGTTATAATAGGGAATGCAAATCATCTGCTTACAGTTCGAATCATTGTGACTGTAATTTACTTATGGTAGACTGTAAATTATCATGGAAATGTTCCGTGATAGGACATATCGTAATCTGACTATTCTGTATTAGTCATTATATGTCTATGTTCGTAAATACTGTTGTCTGCATTAAGGGAGCAGTAGCTAAAATTAATATCTAATTCAGTAAATGATTCTAATGTTAATTGTATTAACTATGACTCATGAACTATTGAGGAATAGTATATAAATGCAGTATATCGTGAAATAAAGAAGAATTCTCCAACTTAGTGTTTAACGTAAAATACGAGGCGTTTAAGTCTTTGTGTAGTCTACTAGTAGAGCAAAAGTGTTTGTGATAGTGCAGATATCGTTCCTTGATACGTGGTTCAAGGAATTGACTTATTGATCGTATATTGCGTTATCTTGTTGCAAAGCTGTTTTGTGACAGGCTATTATTCTATAAATCACTGTACTACTAACCTCTATCAAATCCAATCAAATAGAAATAAATGAAGTGATATTGAGGCTTACTTACATGGACATTTCTACACTTGAGTTAGCTGCAAAGTTTGTTAGATATTTTTGAAGGTAAAAATAGACTAGACTTAAGGTAGGTATATACTGGTAAATGGAAAAAGGATACGAAGATGAGAAAAGTAAAAATTTTACTGTACTTGGTAATCAGAAATTGTAGTATAATGACAATGATATCTTCGAACATTATTGATTTAAGGCGCTTCTAAAATGTAATATCGAATAATAAATCTCGAACGTATAGATTAATCAAGAAAAGATGTGATTAATTGCCAGTCTTAGAAAGTCGGAGAGATACAATTATTATACATATATGTAATTATTTCATTACTTAGTCATAAAAGCAACTTTGCATATCGAATAAAGTGATCTTAATAGGAATAAATATCTGCTTAATATATGAAAACGTTCGAGAATATGAGCGCCTGAAAAATTAATATAAGGCAACAAAACTAAAGAAATAGGGTTTGATTGCTAGTGTTAGAGGTACCATTATGAATTAGTCTTGCAGTTAAATGATATTAAATGATATTTTGTAAGTTAGCCAATATAACTTTAATCTAAATATCTACTTGATAAATTGTAGAATTCTAAAATATAAAATTTTTAAGGCATTGACGTCTAATAATATATTGCAGATTGCATATGACTTTATTGTTTTAGTCACAAGTATTTTGTATTATTGGAATTATTTGGCCATTCCAATTCCATTGAATGATCATGTACTGGTTAATTATTTTTATAGATATGACATCAGTAATAGCATACGCATGTAAACTAGTATTATTAATAATGGACGAAAATTGTATAACAAATAGGACCAAGCACTTGATAGCAATAATGGTACGTAAACTTGCTCACTCTATTTAGGG